GACCATTACTTTTATAAAGCCTTTTAGTTGTATATTCGCGTAAATACAAGCTATTATTACAGTATTCATATCGCGTAAAAAAAGTAAAGTATCAGCCCATACATGTCCCACTGCTGGGCTAAGGCCTCCTCTATACAGAGGGTATCGGGGCATAGTCCACCACGCGGCCCCACTGCGAATTGGCGGACTTCACATATCTTCGAAAAATATTCTATTGTTATTATTTCGAAAACATTCAGGTTTCCTCACGATGTTTTCCTTTACCTTGGTGGTCACCATTTCATTGGTGCCGGCACCGGGGATCGAACTCAGTTTGCTCGAGTATATTGAATTAAAGGCGAGCGGCCGAACACTGAGCTATCACGGCTCTCATATCGCGTATATACAAGAAATTATACAGTACGTTATCTCTGTACACCAACTTTATTAGGGCCACGCAACAGTCTCCGCTGTTGCACGGAGGTGCAGTTCCGTCCATTGGTGCACTTGACATCAGGTGAGCCACCAGCTTACCACCTTCTCACATAAAAACACCAGCTAAATAATAACAGATCACATCGCTACATGGTATGAAACAAACTCGTCCGCTGTCGTTCTGTCCCTACGGATGGTTAGATGTTTAAAACTACCCAACGGATCTTGATGCGGTTTTTATTAATAGTTAGTGATTCAAGAGGAAGGTTTGTATGTAGAATACATTGCACCAGTGCGAAGCCGGGGCGAGTCGCTAGTTTATAGATATATTATAGTACGGGACCCTTCGTGTGCGAGTCCGACTCGCATTTGGCCAGTTTTTTTACGTATCTTAATGCGAAGAATCATCATTATACCTAAGCAACGTTGGCTGCGTTTTGTTTGGGCAAAAATTAATTTTAAATCGCGCTGCCAAGTTCGTGGGTCAAGCGGAGTTATATTTACGAATCTCGCATAGTTAATTTAAGTCGCCACTCCATTGAACTTTTAAGTTCCCGTCAAGCAATGACATAATTCACATCTGGCGCGAACTGCCAATGAATTTACATTCGCGAAACGACTGTGTTAACTATGAATATTTGAGGTAACCGGGGTCCAGCTTTTTAATGTTGCCAACGCATCTGCAAGCCCTCATTGATCATTCAACGTCAGGTGAACCGCTCGCTTGGTAACTTTTAACATAAAAAAAGTTTGAGACGAGACTCGATTGAAGAGACCTAGGGATCTCGAAAAAATATCGATGTGAAATCAAAAACATCGATATTATTAGCCGATATATTCGGATCCGATAGTTTTTCAAATTCGAATCCGGCACCGAGTCCGTAGATGTCAAGTATTTAGTACTTGACATACCTTTTTTTGGACGACGGGTCCTAAATAGAAAATATCGATATATCGACATTTACTAATCGATATTTCGAGGCCGATATTGATATTTTTCAAATGTCGATATATCGATATGTCTTCATTTTCGACATCCCTAAGTGACCAATCTCAACAGCTAGGCGACTCTTTGCTGTGGAATGCCCTTTGGTTTCTCGCCTCGCGTATCGCCATAAGTCGTAGGTAGTCGAAATTCAGACTTCACAAGTGCATTTGACAGAGTAAATCACGACCTACTGACCTCAAAACTTGAAGCAACGGGGTCACATGGGCCTTTGCTTGCCCGGTTTACTTCGTGCTTATAGAGAAGGGCACATTACTGGCAGTCGATATATATACTTATGACGGTAGGCATAATGACTGGTGTTCCACAGGGCTCTCTTTTGGAACCACTACTACTTATGTATCTATTTCGTCTTTCGGCGCATCATGTGAATCGTTTTGGTATTTGCTAAGTTTTCTACGACCGGAAATTAATAAATAAAATACTCATTTGTAGACAACCTAACAATATTAAGGCTAGCAAAGGCGGGTTCTCATTTTCCTTTCTTACAGGAATATCCAGACAGTCTTCGGGCAAGTTGAATACGTCGAGGACATACTGCTCACAGTAATGAAAACACACAGAGAATTAGTGACGTTCCAAAAATTTCAACACAATATAAGTAACGACCAAACTCTTACTTTCCAGTATGGAATCCATCTTGTACGATTCACTCCCAAAGAATCGAATCTCCATAACACTTATTGCATATTTTTCAGTAGGTACATTACGCGTATCATCAAACTTAACCCAAGATCCCTCTCTGTCAACGGATGGTTAAGCCATCCGTTAAAAGAATGAAAGTACCCTACAAGTAACACTTCTGCGTTTCATCCGATGAGTGAGGTAACCGGGACCCACTAGGCAGGTGGCAACGCATCCGCAATCTGCAACCGTACGAGTGTTGCAAATAACCATACGCCGTTTATCACTTGACATCAGTTGAACCACTTGCCACCTTCTCACATCAATTTAGAAACCATGCTCTACTATATTCCTATAATGCTTAATCCTCAGCCGTTTTGGCTCCTAACTGGAGTATAATTTATGATAATTGTAAATACCTAATTCATTGCGAGCCAATCTGAATTTACTTAATAAAGCTCAAAAACGTCAACGTCTTTGTTAAACGCCCGTTGAAAAGCAGTTAGGTGTCTGTTCACATTCTTACGGTTGAAATTCGTGCAAGTTTTTATCACATCACACCAACATGCACAATGGAATTACTAATAAAAGTGAATGTTAATAAATACATTGCTCAAACTTTTCCTTTTTGCGGTCTTTGAAGAATAAATTATATAACTGTTTTCACTTTTCTGTGTTAGCTGTCTCCATATATGTCTGTATTAATTTTGTTGTCTGTTACTCATAGACCGTCATAGCAAATAAGCCTTTGTTTCTTATAATGTTGCATTATAGAAAACTTTTATTTTGTTAAGCAATGTGCTGTAACCAGTGAAATCTTTGAAAACATAAAACGGTAACCTTTTTAAAATTTAGTATTGTTTTTTTTTTTCTTTAATATTGCTATTGCATTACACATTAATTACTTTTATTTACTTTTTGGGTTAGGACCTGCCATCTACTTCTCACCATGACAAAAGTTGACTGGTACAGAATGCCATTAGGCATTAAGTCTGCCCATTGTAGCCTTTAGCCTAAGGTGTAACAATGAAGTATAAATAAATAAATAAATAAAATGAATCCAATGTTTTTCTTTACACTCTACATCAAACATATTGTCATTAAGTACAGGGATATTTAGCTAAAACAGGGCAGCCATATCTCTGTGTCCGGGGGCCTGCTATTAATTCAATACCTGAACCTGTGAACCCTGAAATTAATAATTTAAGTGATGACATATCATGTGCTTAGTGATAAAGTTAAAACTTCGTGAAGAAACCTGCATATTTTTGAAATAACAAAAACGATATTGGGAATATATGTGAAGTCCGACACTCCACAGTAAGGTCGGCTGGTGGATTCTGTATAGAAGAGGCCTTTGCCCAGTAGTGGGACATGTATAGGCTGGTACTTTGCATTTATTACGCTAAGTAATCAATCATTTATCAAAGTAAAAATTATTATAATTTAAAAATAAACAGATTATTGTGATAATTTCCTTTTACACTACTGCTAATAAAAATAGCTATTTCAATGCGATTTTCCTTTGCAATATGAATATTTAAATGATGGTGAAGACCAATGTATCAGTCATCTATTTCTATATTTATTATTATCCATATGTATTATCTGCCATTCGGAAAGCAAAGAAAATTATTGTGATAGGGCCATGCTACAGTTTCTGCTCTTGAACGAACGAGAATGTGTGTCCGGGTAAGTACCAGAACCTCACAAAAGACCAACATGAAGTGGAAGTATTAAACTTTCGCATTTCAACTGGTGAATGAGGTAATCGAGGCCCACTTTTTTAAAGATGGTCAACGGATTTGAATGCCAATTGGATGATGTAGGTGTCTATGGGTGGCAGTATCTATTTAACTCCGGGTGAACTGCATGACAGGTTGCCAACTTATGACTTAAAAAACAACGCTGGAAAGAAGAATAACATAGTAAAACAATTTTTTCACTTAAAGTTATTTTAAGGTTTTCATACAGCAATGGGTGGTGCTGTCCATAAATGTTATAGATTGCTAAATAATGGTCATAATGGAATTTTAACTTTTTTAGTGAGACTCCTATTGTTTGGAATTTCAAATTTCAAAGTAAACTGCATGTGTCCGATTTGTATTGATATATGTAATGTAATTATTATAAAATGACAAAGCTGCCAAGTAAAAATATACAAAGAAAGATCATGATCTTTCTATTCATATAGATATTGGTTTCATTTACACATTAATTAATAGTAAATATTCTAGCAGAATCACTGCTAAGTCTACAACTCAATACTAATAAATAACAAATATGATATAAAAAATCAAAATTCGAATGAATGAAGTACATGGATGAACATACACTATTTAAATATAATTTAAAATAGTATCAATAACGTAATCTATCAGAATAAATGACGCGCAAATTTTCCTAATACGCCGAATTAGAAATACGGTGGAGGATGTTTAAAAATTTTATGTTTCACAACATGGGTCAATGTTTAGGTTTAGTATTCATATAGCCCACATAATAATTATCATTCATTAGAAATTCATGAGGCACCGTGACGAGGATTATAGATCGGATTAGAAACGAACTTTGCGACGTGTTTACATATCAAATATGAGAGGTATTTCCCGACTGGTAACAATTCAATAACATAAGATTTATGAGCGTCCAGGTACGTCGCAACAGAAACGTTACGTCCTGTAACTAAATGATCACAATTTTATTAGCGAACATATGAGTCATTTTAAATTGCATCGAAAAAAATTACACCCACGGGTAGATCACCGATATAACCTGTAGTTATGCTAAGCTAATATTTCTTATTTACTCAGACTGATTATTAGAGTAAAAGTTTGAAAAACGATCGCAGTATTTATTTATATACAGGCGTCATAGAAATAAAAGCGCTAACCTAAGAAATACGAATGAAAACTTCAAACGATATGGATAAATATAATTATTATGAGAGACTCACCTCGAAAAGCTTCAAAAGTATGTTCACATATAATCTCCTAACCCCAAGGGATTTGCCAATGGACGCCAGGAATATAATGCACAGTATTAAAAGCAAAAACGGCGTGTAAAGTATCGAAATTGCAACAGACACTAACGGCGTGAGCAACGCCATCTTGCCGACTGATTGATTGAATGGATATTTGGGATTTTAACTGCTTTGATTACATTTTATTGATACCGAAACAACGTTATAACTGCATTGCGTTATCAGTTATTATAGTACAACCCGCTAAGAATGTAGCGGGGCTATACAACATTAGACGGAAGTTCTTTATAAAAACATTTTATATTCAAAAGAATAAAAGCGGTTTCCTTTATTATAAACAGAACATGATTAATTCATACAAATACTTTCATGAAATAAAGCTTACCTTGTAAATGTTAATTACCTTCATAAACTATAAATAGAAAATATACAGTCATGAAAACTGCGGACAGAAGTGAAAACTATGGAACACTTAATTTTTTTTATATGAAATAAAATGTTATGACATTTTTAAATAAAATATTTAAAAGTGGTTTAAACAACATTTTTTTAATAGTGATATTTATACCGATCTAATAATTTAATTAAATATATGATACATGAGATTACGTCTGTACATCAGATGCTAAGAAATAAAACAATTGTGATGAAGTCATTATCCAGTTTATTAGCTCAAAACCTTTATAAAAAGATTTAAATAATTCCAATATATTATCATAGCATAGTCTTTTTAAAGGCGTCGCAATTTATGGGTGAATATTAACAAGTTATAACTGCTACAAAATAAAATAGCAGGTACGTAACGTCAATAACCACTACATCCCTATTTTTATGATATTATATACTACAACAGCCTCAAAAACTATCGTATTGTATATCGGGGATATCGGTTGATAAATAATTGGCTCCACGATGGCCGGTTTAACCATCAACACAGTTCTTTCCAAAAATCTTAGAATTATTAATCACTAATATTTTTATAATAAAAATGGCATTAAATAGTAAAGGTCCCGAAGAAAACATTTCGTAAACGATAATGACAATATTTTTTTCGTGAATTTTGTAGTAATTTTATAAAGTAAACTTCAATAATAATTATTTTTAAGCAATAAAGAAAATTAAAAATTGCTTGTTTTTGAGGTAATAGGAAAATAGTGAATGTCATGAAATGTATCGATATTTGGAAAAAATATCGATAGATCGGTCAAATTTTTGGTTTTTAAAAAAAATGTATTTAGTTAAGTCTAATTCAATAATAAGTAATTTTTATTCCAAATTCACATTATTTTAATGAATGAGAATTTTTAATAAAACAATAATTATTCATTAATTTTAATCAAATTTCTTTTATTAATCTAAATTTCTAAGTACATTATTGATCAAGATCATTGGAAAAAAACAAACAGCTTATTAATAAGATAAATCAATTTCTTTAACCCTGAATCGAATCAAAAAATAACTAGTAAAAAAACATATAACTTTGTAAAAAACTTAAAGAATTGTTTAAAACGAAGTTAATAATCTAACCTAGATCAGCAGAATTTAGTGGTTTGATTGACATGAAAATGCTGAACGACAATTTAAAAAACTACTTAGTAATTACAATGTTTAATGACAATAACTTTTATGACGTCAAATAATTTTTTTATGAAAATTTGATTATAATTAAATTTTGTTCACTTTATTTACATATTATATTAAAGGAACTTTAGTTAATGTCATTTATATTTTGCATGCTTTTTATAAATTTGGTTAGCATATAGTTCAATATTAATAATTTGTAACACCCCTATACCATGTTATACCTTGATAGTTTAAAGTTGTAGTATAAATAGCATAGTTATAGTAATAAATACAACACTCCGTAGGCAACAGTACTAGTCATAGACAACACTTGTTTTTCCGTTTATTTTTATATTTTACGGCTTTGAATTAGTTAATATTCAGCTGAATTAAATTTGATGAAAAATATCGTTTTTGATACGATTTTGGTATTAAATTTTTTATATCGATATATCGGATCAAAATATATCGGCCAAAAGTATTGATATATTTTTAAAAAATTTCGATTTGTGGCATCCATAGACGAAAATGGAAATAAGAATAACAGTTATTATAACGAATAACGATATTGCCATAGAAATGTTATCATTTTCATATTTTAAGTAACATTGAACTTGGGATAATGTTTAAATTATAAATAATTTATTACATTGCGTTTTACTTAATGTTTCTTGAAATATTTCAAGTGTACAAAGTCCGACTTTGTGTTTATATTTATTATGTTAAAGTAAGCTTATAAGTTTTCAATTTTGAATTTACCAATTCTGGTAACACCGTCACATAACTCACTTATAACCTCTGTAGAGTTTGTCCTGAAGATTTTGTTTCCAAAATCTCTTCAGAATTTATATTCTCCCTATAAAATAGTACAAAATGTCTGATCTTCCGTACGGACCGCCAGTTAGAGTTTCGCCTTTAATCCGGGTAAATATATAATCCATATATTTATTAAAAATGAATTATTATGTAACAAGGTACAAAACCTCTATTAATCAATTACGCGAAAAAAGTTTTTATATACTACAATTCATTGACTAGAAGATTGGCTGATTTGTCAATTCATTGACTAGAAGAATTGCAACTGTCTGTTAGATTCCTAAAACGTGTTTCCTATTATGTGCGATTGAAATAAATTTAACTAGTAACTTTACCAAGTGTACCAAATGTTTTAGATTGTAATATACCTGAAACTATAGTTGTATTGTATAGTTGTAATGTAATTATTAAAAAAAAGTTAGTGTAAATATTAATAGTTACTTTCTTCAGTGGTAATCATATATTTTTCTGTCTTGTATTACCTGAACTGTTTTGACAACCACAATTTTGAATTTTTGCTTATTGTAGTTAAAAAGAAGTAAAGAAACATACATTAACTTATATACCCTTCACTTTAAACAATCCTAGTTTTGCCCAATTTTCTCTTTTATCGATTACTTTTTCTATTTCTACAGTATTCTAAATTGACATGATAAAAAGCAATGAAACACGACAATGCACACAAAAACAGAACTTTTTACTCTTTAGATACAAATCCATATTTAGCAGTAGACTTGGTTGCTCAGGTCTGCTCTTATGTGATAATAGGATTGGTTTCACAACACAAGATTTGGTTAAACTTTCCAATATGGACAATCAATATATGAGGTTTTAGGGTTTGGGGGAGGGCTATTTCTTGGTGGTCATAAAAAAAATAACCGCCAAGGTTAAGGCGGTAACTCTGCTCCCCTTTACCTTTTATCTTCGTGGAACTTTCTAACCTAAACTATCCGAGTCGGATTCACTCTGTGTCGGTTCTGTGACTCATTAAATAAAAAAAAAAATCGAGCTATTGATATGAGTATGATGTCACCCGTTTCTTATATTTATCCTGTTGGCAGAACTGTGTATTGAGTTTATGAAGTCAAATTAATAAAATGGCAGATTTTCTTAGTGAAAACTAAGCAACCACCGAATTCTGCTTGATATAATATCACTAATGAGTGAAGTATTGACGTTTGACATCAATTATTTGTCAAATTTATTTTGTAATTGCATGTTATTTGCCAATTTGTATGAAAAAAAAATGTATCTCATGAACCAGAAGTTTCCGCAATCGAAAACTTTGCAAAACTTTAGTTTTGATTCTTTTAGTCTATAAAAAAATTTGGGCATTTAAATCGATGGAAAGTTTATCCCAAGATTGGATGATTCATTTCCATTACCTAAAATAAAAGAAATTCTATCTTTAAACCTATGTGGTGGAATAACCATTACTTAGCCAAATAAACTGTGGGTAATTTTTAAAGTGGTTTACCTAACTTCTATCTTATTAATCTTTAATGCAACAATAGTTTTTACTGTAATGTGTTAATCATCTTAGAATACATGCAGGGAAGATGTTTACTTTGTTACATGGTTGTCAGCCAAATGTGTTTAAATATTTTTTGTACTGTTATTTGAACATAACTTTTGCCAATTCCAGTTTGGCCGTTGGTCGTTCCTCACAGCGGGCATCCTGTATGGAGCCTTCCACCAGAACAGGCTCTCCAAGAAGGAGGCCAAGATCCGTGAAATCGAGGCCAAGGAGAAGGTCATCAGGGATGCGAAATTGAAGGAAGAGAAGGCAATTGCTGCAGCTGGTGTGTGGCTTAGAATGTTTCTTTGGGTTTTGGGAAATATTTATGAAAACAATAGATGAATGCATGTGCTGCTCTGTAGTTACATTATTCACCTTGTATATAGTACAGATACCTACCTTGTTGTATTTTGTGCTGAACGGGTTGGGTAACTTGTGAAGTTACTAAGTCCCAACAACCGCTGCAACCTAGATCTTTTGTAGTTTTTCCTTTGTGAACATTTCCCCTGTACCTTAGAATAGCACTATCCCATGTTGTAAGGGCAGGTTACGTACATAGATTTTATCTGTACAAACACCCAGATCTGAAACAGTTATCTGTGGGTCATTGAAATAGTTGTCTTGGGTGGAAATTGGGCCCTTGACTCTTGCGCCATAGCCGACACCTTGTCAACTGCGCCATGGAGTCATCCACTAGCCTTCACAATGTGATATTTATTTTTTTTATGAAAGCTGTCAAGCGAGCAGGCAGTTCATCTGATGTTAATTTCGTTAGGTTACCTCACTCAACAGACGCAACACGAAAGTTTAATACTTCCACTTCACGCCGATTCGTGCGACAGCAGAAGTTGTTGCATGGCCCTCCCATAGTATTTTTATATATATTATTTATTTTAATGATTATCGCACTAGCACATAACTCCTGTGTTTGAGAGAGCCACAAAAATATAAATCACTGTACACATTGATATAACAACTTTTGTCGGATACAAAGCCTTGTCACATGTGGGAATTGGCTGCCACAATTTTTATTTAGTGACTTAAATAATTGAGTTATCCCACTGCTGGGCAATTTTATTAAATTCTAGACATAAATAATATTATAAAATAACTGATAAATATTTAAAATAACTCTTAATTAATTAATTACATTAATTTGAACTTATCTCAAAATGTGCGTGATTCATGGGCAACTCATTTATTTTACGCGCGATCATTTATAACTAACACGCACACAAGTTCGTTTCAAAAGTATACGACGCATTTATGAATGATTACCGCATTGTCAACAAGTTCTGTTTCTTAGGGAATAGAATGACAATTTTTTTGAAAAAAAAAAGTTTGTTTTTATTTCAATAAACGATTATACTACCGTGTCTGAACCTCCTGTGTGAATTTGGCTTTTCTAAAGGTGCCCTTTAGAAAAGCAATCCCGTATAAGCATTTTTTTTAAATATGCAGTTGTTCACCGCTGTGATTTAAAATTGCTTCCAGCAGCTTGATTTGAACTCTGATTGGTCTAGTATATTATATAAAAATTAACTAATACTCAATATTGTTGTTTCAGCCGAGATGAAAGCGCTGGAAGAAATGATATCCACGAAGAAGTAGGCTGTTCTGTTTATATAGTTATAAGGTGACAGTGGATGACGCCATCTTTGTTTGTGCTGCCGTTGCGAAAAAACGTAACGTTGACGTTTTTAATGGCAACGCATTTTGAAAATTATGTATTTAACGAAATATAGGCGATAAATTAAATGCGTTTTATTTTATCATTTAATCTTCTGAATGGCAAATTTAACTTATCTATTTATTATATAGAAATCGTGCAAACCACTTCTTTTAAATCCAATAAACTGAAACCTGTTTGGAAGTTAGATGGAAAGAGCGACTTTGACAAGAGATATTTCTCATTTACTGTACTTTTTTATATTTGATTTCATTAATTCGGAATTCATGGGAGGAGGAGGTAACTTTCAGAATGCAAGGCGTATCCTACTCGGTGCATGGTGCGATTACATACACAATCCTCCATAAAGCTGCTTTACCTGTGGTAGGGCCTAGCAGCAGCCTCGGCTTTGCGCGAATGGGCAGGCTCGCCCGGGTAAGCACCACGACCACACAGAAGACCGGCGTAAAGTGGGAGTACATATTACTTAGTAGTATAATACTTTCGCGTTTCGTCTGGTGAGTGAGGTGGCCGGAGCCCAAATTTCATTAGTTTATCGACGCATCTGCAACCCTCGGGTGTAGCGGAGGTCTGGGCGGCGGTCAAGTTTATCTTTTGTTATAAATTGAAGCGAATTGAGGCTCTAAGCAAAAATATTAGTTTTTATTGTGTAAGTAGGTGGCTTAATTACGGGCGCAATTAATTTTATGCTATATTATATATTTTTCTTTATTTCACAACTCCGCCCGCGCGCCCCTTTGTATCCTCGCGCCCCTAGGCACATGCCTAGTTTGCCTTAGGGATAATCCGCCTTTGACTGCGGGCCGTAAGAGGAAACTCGAAATCGCTCAGCGAACTATGGAGGTATTTCTCTGCGTGATAAGATATTAGAAGTAAGTTATGAAACATAGCTTTTACCGACTTATACAACTATAATTCAACAATGACTCGATAATTGGACAACAATATTACTTAGCTTTTCCAGCAGAGCAACAGCCTTAACATCCAATAACCAAAAAAATAACCCGCGTACGTTGTGAGAGTTGAATTTATACCCCTCAAAAAAAAATACCAATTAAACCCCCCCCTCCCCCATTCTAGGGTGTAGGTATCAAACCAACAACTTTTAAATAAATTGCAATAAACTGTACTAATAAATTATTGATAAATTATTAATTAGATTAAATATGTACCATAATTATAACAAAGAGTTCGCAACGAAGACTTCTGCAGTAGAACAAAGCGATGTAGCTCTGATGATTAGAAGGGAAGTGACGATGGGCTGTACACACTAATCACCTAGCAAGAGTAGCATTGCTTCGGTTCTCGAATAATTAATTAAACGCACTCATTTATGTAATCTGTTTCTGAATATCTTTTTACAACTATAATTCGAACGAGAGATGTGACCATTGCTTTTTACAAATTTAAATTTTTATAGTGCTAATCTCTGCATTTAAGATTAAACATTTTTTTTTGTAGGAGGAACGAAATGATTTCTCGTTGCTGTGGTTATCGAACCCACGTCTTCAAGATTCGCGCCATGAAGGCACTAAGCGTGCTCTAAGGCACTAAGCTAAACGGCTGATTGCCACACTGGCGAAATTCTCAACGTCCTTTATCTACATAGTTTTCTAAAAATTTCAATGTTTAATCTAATGGCAAAGATAGGCACTATAAAAACTTTAATATATAAAAAGCTTACAAAAAGTCTGACGTATGCAAGCACTCACATCCGGTACTTAGTGTGGATGTACAACATGATGTGATGTGTAACAACAGAATTGAAATGGCTCGGTTTAAAGGTTTAAAATTATCTACTTATTTGTGATATTAAAGAATATAAAAAAAATTATATTTATATGTGATATAAAAAATTTATTTGTGATGTTATATCTTCATTATTTTTAGTATAATTTAGTAACCGTAGCATATCAAGGGCTCCTTGAAAGCTACTTGCTACGGGCCCCACGATTGCTTAATTCGGCACTGTGGGCCGGCCAGTTAGATAGAACCGATAATCTGTAGTTCTCGAGTGGCAGCCTCGTACTGGCCATCGCAGTGTAGGACGACCCCCATTAGATGGTGTGACGACCTGTGCAAATGTGCGGGAAGTCGATGGATGCTTGTGGCTCAGGATCGTGCTTCGTGGCAGTCTGAGGGAGGTCTATTTTCAGCAGTGGACTCAAAAAGGATGAAATGATGATGACGATTTATTATATTTATTTCATATTTTTTATTTATTTAGTTTAAATAGATAGACAATTCGCCTATCAAAAAGCTTTTGGTATTTAAATATCCATTAAAAACACAGTGATCCTTATCCTTGTATTGCCATTTTTTTTAAATGTGTGTTATAATATAGCGTATGAGGCCTATAAGGTAAAATGTGTAACAATTATATTGTACATATAATGTGTGTGTTATGGTCGCACGTAATATATTATACTGCTTTGGCATTACAAATAAAAATTAACAAAAACAAAGGTTTTGACGTTTATTTATATTGAAAACATTTCTAAACGGATTTTACCATCCGTCATTCGTTACAGGAGAAAAAACTAATTATACGTTATCGTCCTTCATGATGTTAATTATATGTTGCTGTGCGCGCGCTTCGCCAATATTTAGCTCACTGAATTTGTTCCCAAAGTAATTATAACTTAAAAAATTATAGAAGTTTATAATTTGAAAATCCTCGAATAAGCTGTAGAATTTCGCATCAAGTTTCTTAAAATGTAATCAGATATGTTTATAAGTAAATAATTATAGGATGACATCCGCGAAGGTCACCTCCCACGTTGTCCATTATCCCAAATTATCTTCTATCTTTTTATTGGTACCACTCCAGGTGTGAAGTAAATAAAGGGGTAGACCGCCAACTTTGCAGAATGACGGTAGCTTCTTGTTCAATTTGTATTTAATGGTTAATCTCTGAAAGGGTAAGTACCATAACCTCAAGGAAGGCCAGCGCAAAGTAGAAGTGTTACACTTTTGCGCTTCGCCAAGTGAGTAAGGTAGCCGGGCCCACTGATTTAAGGGTGGCGACGGTATCACTTAACATCAGGTGAACCGCCAGCTCGTTTGCCACTTTCTCACATAAAAAAAGTACTTCCATATGTGTGTCAGTATGTGAAGTTTTATTGTGGTAGGGCCACGCAACAGCTTCGGCTGTTTGCACGAACGGGGAGGTTTGTAAGTACCACGACCTCACAGAAGACTGGCATAAAGTGGAACCTCTGCGTTACGTCTGGTGAGTGAGGTAGCCGAGTCCCACTTTATTAAAAGGTGCACTGTCTCTACGTTATATCTTTGTTCTCTCTCATTTAACGAAATGTGCCTAAAGGTGAAAGTTCACTGCCAACTCTCGTCCCATTGTCAAATCGCTGCCGAAGATGTTAGAAAACCGTAAAAAATAAAAGCAAGCAGAATGAACGAGAACCCGATGGAAATTTGAATAAAAACAAGCATTTCATGTCTCACCTGCGGTTCGGTGCAACGTCTTCTATACAACGTTTGTACAGGCGGTCGTAAAATCGCCAAATTTATTGATCATACTGATTTTGTTGCGTAGTTTCAGAGTTATAAAATAGGTTGATTTCTTTTTAATGTGTTCCGTATTCCCTCGCGAAAATAAACTGTCTACAATTCGTCTGGAACACACAATGAATTTTTATAGACACATTTAACTTATAGACACTTGTGTCAAATTTTCGTAACGCTAAGCAGGCGCAGATGATGGACTTTCATCAGATTTATTATTAGAGAAGCCATTGCCAAACACGAATCTAAATAAATACGGAGTGACAATAAATGTTTAGTAGAAATACATTACGTTATGATATCTATAAACTCCCACGATCCTATTAAAAAGTCGGCGGTGATCTTCGTTTTTATTTACGTTTCTGTTGCTGATACCGACGCGGCAAAATGGCTAACCTCAAAATGGCCGATTGTCAATTGATGAGGTTTTGGCGGGAATCTGCCAGAATAGATTTTAATTTTTAACGCATGGAGGCATATATCGTTTTTTTTTTAATTTAACGAGTTCTTAAAGTGATTATTTATTTTAACCAAAAATTTATATAAGTGCATCCAAAGGTTGGCCTGGCGCCTAAATGGTCGTGTAATGTTTTTTGTACTTGACTTATACCAATGTCTTAACTTGCCCGAATCTGTAGGTAGTTCACAGGTTACTTCTCATCTCATCTTATCTTCCTCTATCATGGGTCGCGATTTCATTTTCAGATTTCACTGTTGCACACTCAGATACGGACCCACTGTCGGGGGTTCCGCCGGATAACACTACACCCACAGCTAGTGTAACAACAAAAACAATAGTTCGCCCTCGCCTCCGAGCACGGCGAGACCAACACAACGCGTACACACGGTATACCCGCGTTCCAGGGCGGTTCTCACCGCCCCCAGCCACCGATTGGCTAAGAACACAGTCGACGGCCATCGGGGTCTCAGTCCGCACCGGAACCTCGATGGCCCTTAGATTACATGCCGTAATTAAACGCACACATGAGCACATGCGCGGCCCTTCCCACAGCGGTTCTGCATCAGATGAAGCTTTAATAGTCTCGGGACTGAAAGCAAAAACATCAGTTAAAAAAAACCATGCGGCATGGTGCCATGGTAAGCCTTTGAGCGAGAAATCAACCAGCAGCGGCGTTAAGACTATGTTGTTGTAAATACTTTACCGAATAAATATATTTTATTTTATAAAAGAAATTAAATGAAATTCGCAAAATAAAAGTAACGAACTATCGTACAGACGAAGACAAATGCGTATGAGCGTATCTGTCTCTTTATTGTTGCATCATTTGTAAAACGGCTTAAACCATTTACCGCCACCATTCGCGTTCGATCCCCAGTGCCGGCACCAATGAAATTGTTAATTTTATTGCCGACTTATCACGTGCTCAGCGGTGAA